CCAAGGGTGTCTCTACACAGCAGTGCCCTTTGTACGCAGACTAGGCCTAAGCACCAGAGCAAACCCTTTTCACAGTCCACTTGGTTAATTTCTAAAGGGCTGGGTAAAATAATCAGCTGACTGACTGATGAGAAATCAGTGTTACACCAGCTGTGGACACTTGTGTGGCTGCAGGCAGAGCCGAGTGTATAAATAGACTCCTGGGAGCTATGACAGACTTCAGCAAATGTTACGGGGAAACCTGAGCAAGCCCACTTGCTGCTGCAGAGAGGAGGGAGGGCTGCTTGACAAATGACGGCCACTGGGACAGGTGCAACCATCCCTCTGAGAGCTGGAGAAGCTACTGCTGCAGTAGGGGAGGTAACGTGTAGGGTCAACACTGAGTACTGGCACAGTGGGATACATTACAATGCACTGCTGGGTGCTAGGTGTTTTTCTGGGCCTGCGTGCAATTCCATTCATAAATCCCCTTTTGCAGTGGTGGAGTGCACTCTAGCCTGGGCTGTTCTCTGCTGACAAAAGATTCATTTTTAGATCTCATTTAAGCAGCCAGCTCCTTGGGCACTCGTGGAAATCACTACTAATGCCAAAGCCTCTGGACGGAAGGGAAGCAGAACAGCATCTCGGAATAGGGCCTCTACCTGAACCAGGGTGATAGCAAGGCAGGCTTTTTTTCCACTCTGCACCTTCAGTGAGGTTTGGCCATTTGCTTCCTGGCTACCGTTGTCCTCTCAGGTCCACCCAAGGCCAGGAAGGAGGGTACCTTTCTAAAAAAGGTGCTGCCCATCTCACCCAGGTTGGCCTGAGTCTCCACCGTGGCTGTCAGACAAACTCAAAGGAAGTGTTATCCCTACTCTTTGCCAAGGGATTGCCCACCAATGCGGAGTTATCAGCTACAGCCCTACCCAAGGGTTAGAGGGGAAAGGGTTAGAGCATGGGGCTAGGAACTAGGACTTCCGGGCTCTTTTTTTCATCTCCGCTACTGACTTGCTTCATGAACTCGGATAGGCCACTTACCTCCTGTTCCCTGAGCTGTAAAAGGAGGGTGGCAGCACCTCCTTGCCCCGCTGGACTATTGAGGCTCTTTGAACACTCCTTTGTAAAATGCTTTAAGAATCTCACAGGGAAGATGCTGTGGAAGCGCAAAGTGCTACTGCTGTTTCCCCCCATCACTAACATCCCCTCCCTACTTTGCCACCCACCTCCTCCCACCCATCACTCTGGTGACTGTTTTGCTGGTGGGTGGGAACATCCATGTCCATCGTGTCCATTCTTGACCTAATATTGCCTGGCACAGGTGATGTGGCTGAACAACATTCCCCCTGCTAGTCAAGCTGGTGTGTGTGCAAAGAGAATACAGCTCCTGAGAAGGTTGAAGGTGTCTAAGACAGTAACATCGCTCTTTTTTTGACTGCCTCCTTTGCCTTTACTTCTCTAGCTACATCCAAGCCGGAACTGCACTCTGAACACTCTGCTCAAGAGACAGATGCAGATCCGTGACTCAGGTCCCTCTCTCCCCTGAGATACAGACATCAAAGTACGCGGTTGATTTTAAGAGATAATCATCTCCTTTGCCCAACCAAAACCCTCCAAAATGTTTACAGAGGCAGATAATTGGCTGAGTCATGCCACATGCATCCATACTCCAGATATACTGTGTCTGGATCTGAATTGTGCTCTGTACATCATTTCACTGCCTGAGGAGAGTATGATGCCAGGAATTGCTTGGAATGACAGCCCATCACTTGACCTGCTTACATTTAACGCCAGCATTTGATCTAGCTCAGGAAGCTCTGTGGCTGGTGCAAACCACATTCCCTTACATTATCAGCTTTAATTTGGGACTGTGGTAGCAATAAACCCAGATACTGTTCCCAGACATATTAATATAAGTGCCATCAATTTCAGTCAGGTTTACCTAGGGGTAAGAATCTGCCCCACTGATCATCCCGAAAGCCCTGAGATAATGATCAAAATGGTACTTACAGGTCAAACACTAAGAAGAAAAAGGTGCTGGATTCAAAATTGTCCTTCAGCTGAACTGCAAAAAATCATGATATTGAAAATCATTAGATGCAGTGCTGTGACCTTGCCCTGGGCTGTGTGTGTGTGTGTGGGGAAAAAAAGCCATACTCCCTTCTCCAATGAGATAACTGTTCCCTGACCCCCAGAAGCAGGTGAGGAACTTTACGGCGGGTGCATCTACATGTACCTCTTTTTAAGCGGGTTTAGCCTAAAATCAGAATTTTTAAATCGCATTAAGAACATGTCTAAAAATGGTGATTTAAGGCTAGGTGAGCCTAAGTTTGATACCTGCATAAAGCAGATTTCAAATTCAGGCACAAATAACTAAGTCGCATTAGTGAATGTATACACGTGCTAATGTGCATTACTGCGGTGCGCGTCAATGGACACACACCACATTAATGTGCATTAGTGCATCTGCACGTGCGCTAATGCAATTGAGTTATTTGTGCCTGAATTTGATGCAACTTAATGCGCATCAGCGCATCCAAGTGTAGACAAGGGGCCTAAATCGTCTTAACGTGTGTTAAGCAACGGTGCATTAAGTTTAGGTGCATTTAAATACATGTGTAGACATGCCCAGTGAGACCATTTTGAGCCCCCATGTTAAAACACAGACTTGTAAGTTGGTTAGATACTTTTTCTGTCTTCACTGAGCTCAGCACATGTGAGGAGGCACCTGGAGAAAATCCTAACCAGAGTTGATCTTGGTTAGGGCCTGACTAAGCAGACCCACAAGGACACTTCAAGTGCTGCAGGAAGTGTAGATAGGAGATGCAGCAAATAACCTGCTCCTTTCTGAATCAGAATCAGCTGTCATGGTATTAGGGACTCCATGGCTGCAAGAGGCCTCTTCATTCAGAAGAGATGGAAGCCCAGAGTCCTGACTACCTGTGTTTGGTTAACTTATGTCATTGCAACGGGCAAAACATATCTTGGAATACTGTCTCCTTATGGAAATCCAACACAGCTTGTTCTTCTTCCCCAAAAACGGGGAGAATATGAAGCTGGTGGGGATGTTTGCTGTTAGCATTGTTTCCCAGGACTCGACAGTGGAGGAGGTTTCTGCCCTGCAGGCAGATTGATTTGAGCGACACCTTGTCCTTCCCCTGCCACAGTGTTTTTCCTGTCCCATCTTCCAAGGGCACCTCCATGAAAGGGACTTCCTGGAATCATTTAAAGAGAAACTAGCTGATCCCTGGAACTGGCAATACAACCTTTCTCAGAAAGCCTGCACCGGGCAGCTGGAACTGGAGAGCTGTGCCTGAGGTGGTGCCCTCCTTGTATCACAGGCTGTGCCTTTTGCAAAAGCTGAGTCATGAACAAGTGAAACATAGGACTCCTGGGGCATTGAGGGCTGAGTTTTAGGCTGTTGGAGCCAGGGTCCAGAGGAACGGAGCGTGACAACAGCAGGCTCTGGAGAAGTCTCTTCTCTGCTGTTGATTTGCTGTTTCAGCAGCACACTGATCATATAAATTTCCTGCACACCCACACACAGACACCGTTATAGATACTGACCCCCAATGCGGTGATCCTCTCTGACTCCACTGAAGTCAATGCAAGCCATTTCCATTGATTTCAGTGACTTTTATGTCTGGCCCTAATCCCTCTTCTCATCTATCCTCCCAAGCTGCAGATTTCAGCAGAATGTTTTGATCCTGATTTTAGCGGTTGCTGTCTGTGCTATGCCACGTCCAGCAACGCTGACTGAATAGCGATGGATCTGAGGGGAAGCGGCGAGTACCTAGAGGACTCTCGGTCACTCTGCCCATTTAGGACTTGATCCAACTCCTATTGGCTGCTTGCAAGCTGGTGCCATGGGACACCACCAGGTGGACATCCACAAATGGCCAAGATACCTTCTCTGTAGGGGTTTCAGTTCAAGGAACCAAAGGTTTTAATCCAAGTCTGAAATCTTTTGGGAATACCTGGCACAGAGATTGAGAATACCGATCATGGAATATGTGCTGGGGTCCAACCAAAGAAGTTTGGACTTACTGACATGGGGATGCCCCGAGACCTTCTGAAGAATGTCAGTCTCCTTGACAGTGGCTTCCCGCAGCTCCTGCACTTCCTCTGGGGACATATTACCACCTGTGATGTCTATAATCTTAACCGCGTACTCCCGCCTGGTCGTCTTGTGAACACACCGACGGACCACACTGCTCACTCCTCTGCCAGAACCAAAACAAAGACAAGATTAAGGGAGTCGGACAGTTTCTGGTTAGTTTAATTCCCTGGTTCTCCTGCCCCAGCACAGTACTGTAATGGTTGGATGAAAAAGCTGCTGCTTTGGAAATTGTTTGTGGTGGGCCAGATCCTTATTGGTAGGAAGTGATTCCTGGGGGATTCTGAGAGGCCTCAATTCCTGTTGACATCAGCAAGAGCCCTCATTTTTTAACCATTTCCCTTAATGGTTTGTATAATTTATATTTCTCATGGGCCAAATTGGAGGCCTCTTGCACCCTCATAATCCTGTTAGCTTCAGATGCAGCTAATGATGCTCTGCAATGTGCTGGCATGACTCCACCTCCTGTAATTGTCATATCTTCTTCTTCTTTTCCTGTGACCATTCCACAGGTTTTCCCAGCTTATAGGGCTGGAATCTGGATTACTGTTGATCTATAAGGTGCCACACTGGCCTGCCATCTACTTAAAGTCTCTTCTGAGTTCTTGGGCTGCTGTTGGCTTAGTGTTCACAGCTGCATTCCAGCAAGCACTTCACAGGGCTGTCAGCCTGAGGTTTATAAGCAGAACAGTACTTATCAAATGACCTTTAGGAATGAATACTATGGACTTGGCCCACTCTTCCTATCTGATAGCGGGAAGGTGGAGAGGAACCAGCATGTTCCAACCTGCAGCCAGCCCAAGGGAATTCTGTAGCACTGTCTGTGTAAAAATTAGCCACTTCTGAGACTTGCGTGCATGACGGCTATGCAAAATAGGTCTGAAGTGAAATAAAGCCCCAGATCCAAACCCCTCTGAATAGTGAGTTTCAAGATCTGAATCTTGAGCCTGTCCTTACTATGGAGGAACAATATCTTCAATCCTGCAGTGACTACTCTCCTCTCATGCTGCTTCTACCCTCCTCCTGCCTGATTCAAAAGCTGTCACTCAACAATCATTTATTATTCTTTTACTGGAAAAGTGTGTCTTCCCTCAGATGTTTTGCTTTCATGGAAATGTCCTGCAGTTCTGTAGCAGTAACTTTACTTCAATAACTTCCAATAACTTTACTCACAGTTGCTGACTGACTTCAGCATCCCTGAAAGTTGAAACTCTCCCATCTGGGTCCCTAAATATGAATTTAGCAGCCTACCAAGCCTGAAAAATCTGACCTAAGCAACAGAGATGTTCTCAGCCTTTTCCAAACACTGTAGGTGACATGGCTACTAGTGCCCAGGTGTTTTAGCAACAAAAGTGCCATTTGCAAAAAAAAAAAGCACTCAGCAGCCTAAGCCACGTTTAATTTTCGTAAGACCTAGGCTCTTAAGTTACTTGGATACTTTGGGAAAACGTTACTCCAAGGGTGAAAATCCCAGATCACCACATGCCTATGGAATAGTTTAAATTCTTCAGAGTGGCACAGGCCAGCACTATGAATGAAGATCAGTCCTTTGCAAGTTGAAGTGTATATGTGAGGGAGAGGAGCTAGTTTCATTGTTGTTTTTTTCAGCCAAACTCCTTTACTATCCAGAAATATCCACATTCATACCTGTCTGCTGACTTATGACTAAATCCAAATACAGTACCTGTTACAAATACATGAAAGAAGTCATGCCTGAAGACCATTTGTCAGACAGGTCTTTTCCTCACTGTTAGGGAGCTCTCATAGTGGGCCCCCGCTTCCTCCCCGCAAAAGTAGTCACATCTTACTAGTCTTGGACACCTTTGTCAAACCCTTTAGGATCAAAAATTGCATTATTATACATGTAGCACAGAGAGGGCTAAAGTCTTTCTTAAAGATGATTCAGTGCTAAGCCAGAGGCACCCTTGCAAGAATGGAATGGATAGGCTTGCCCCATACTCTACAGAACATTGCTCCAGAGGAGAAAGTCACAGTTTACCTGCCCAGAATTTCCTTGGGCTCATAGTTTTCATAAAATTCCTTGGATGAGTGAAAGTCTGGTAACTCTTCGTCCTTAGTCATGTTTGGATCCTTACTGGCGCCACTCTAGGGGTCTGCTTCAGGGTAACAAATCGCTAAAACAAGAAAACAGCAACTGAGTAGTGCAATGACTGGTTCCTCCCAACCAGTTAATTCTGAATTGCTAAATGTGAACCTCAGCATCTGTATTTTTGGACTCCCATTTGCTTTAGTTGTAATCTGATGTCTCTTAGATCTGAGAACTAGAGACTAAACCCAACTAAACCCTGCATTTAGCAACTCATAGACCAGGCCCATAAATTCTGTGGTGCATAACATTAGTAATGATGTAAATATTATCCTCATTTTACAGATGGAGAAAAGTGTCAAATGATGTGTTCAAGTTCATGCAATGTCTGGACATCCGAATTTGGGTCTCCGCTCTCAGACCTGTGCTCAGACCACTACTGTTCTAACTACAAATTACACGGTTTCAAAACGACTAGTCACTGTACAAAATTTTGACCTACATGTCATAAGTGTCCTGAAACTGGATTATAGTACATCAGTGAGACTCCCAGAGACTAGTCAATACTGTGGAATGGTCAGATTTTTAAGTAAATCAGTAAGCATGACAACATTTTCTCAAGTGGTTTTAAAGTCAATTTCTAAAATGAAACAATTTTTCAGAGGAAAACAAACCGAATCACAATCACAGATCTGGAAGACATCTGAGCTGCAGCTTGCGCTAGGAAGTTATTCTGCTGACTGGCATAAACTTCAGTTACAGTGAGACACTGAGACTTGTGCAGCTCCCATAAGTCTCCCGTAAGCAATGTTTATAGCAGATGGGTTATGTTAGATCAGGGTTCAGATAACGAGCTCTCAGTTTTTTATAACTGTCAAATACAAGGCAAATTTCCTAGTATTTTCAAAGCAAATTTTCAAGTATTTTGAAGCTATATACTAGGGTATAATCGAAGTAGACGCCCAGCACCAGAGGTGGTGACCGCGGGACCTAAGGATGCTCGATTCCTCCTTGGAGACCCTCAGAACCTTGCAAGACCAGACTTATTACGTGCCTGGTTTAGTGGAGAGAAGAGCTCCTCTTACCCATAAACTTCAATAGATGCAGCAAACGTGGACCCAAAAAAGCTGGTTTAAAATGCCCTGGCCAATTTATGGGCAGGTGTTATAGAAGAGCAGGACAATTCAGTAGTAGTGTTTGTGCTATTAAGAATCCCCTTTGTCTAAGCAACATTACTATTTAGCAGGAAAAGTTCCATTAGAACTGATAGAGGAACACTTCCCAAGGCTGCATCTTGCATTCTCCCACATCCCTATATTAAGAAACTTTATAAGCCTGAAACAGGAGCAGGATTTCTCTGAACCGTTAAGTCAGTCTCACTTCTTGATTAAACACCTTTTAAATACTATAAATATACTTTTCCCAGTAACATACTGGCAAAGGAATAACTCTCATTAGCTAAAACTAATAGGGCAAATTCTACTTTTAAACCTGTGCAGTAAATGGAGTCACTCTATATGACAGCAGACTAGGTAAATCTATTCCAAAGGCAGGATCAATTCACAATAAACAAAATACTCTGGCATCAGAAATCTTGCTGGTTTTAGCATGCAAATGTAGGTTTAAGAAAGGTTTTCAATTCCAGCAAGATGACTATTTTTATAGCATCAGAAGGGTCTTCATGCTTCCTGGACCAGAATGAAAATAAGGTAGGTACGATGTTTTACAATTTAATATTGAAGATGACTTTTTGCCGTGAGATGTTATAGAAAACATCAGGGCGTAATGCATTCTGAAGATTTGTGACCCTCCTGTTGCTTCACAGATCACCTCCTTTCCTGCTCATAATGCCTGTTTGCTTTTAAAGAGATCTGTTTCTAGATGCAGTAGGTTTCTACTTACCATTACCTCCCTGCAGAATTTCTGTCTTCTACTGTTAAGTCAAATCTTCCTGGCTCATTGATCAGGAATCAAATGAGAACCACACGGTAAAAAAAAAGCTTCAAAGAAACAGACAACTTCGAGTTTAAGGATAACATACCAGCCTTCAGTTGTGCTGCTAGCTCATCGCGGGTCAGCTTCTGTGTGAGTGCTGTAAAGCCAAAAATAAATTGCAATGCAACTTGGAAGCAATGCCAGACTCAGACACGAACATACATTGCTACAGCTTTAATTTAATTTCAGTTTAAGAGAGGAGGGCGGGAGAGAGCAGGAATGACCTGACTTGGAGGTGAACAGAAACCATTCAGTCCATAGCAGTGCTTATGCTGGTCTCTTGCATGGCCCCCAGCAAGTTGAGTAGTCTCTCTAAACGAATCAGTGTTCTCTCCAAGCAGTTCAAATAGTGTTGCCTATTTACAACAACTACTAACCAGAAGCCTGCAAAATTTATACAAAGCGTAGAAACTATTTAACCTTGGCATGAGTGTTAACAAAATTTAGCCAGGAGTTGGATAATCATGCAGAAGCCAATGAAGCTGGGGCAATAAGAAATTGAGAAGGAGGAGCCTCAGCAGCCACACTTCAACTGTCCTGCATGCTCTTCCTTGTTTTCCAACCTTCACTGTAACATAAAGTCAGTGGTGTGGAAAGAGGCATTTGAACCCATCTTCTCAATCTCTGAAATGGTAACCATCACTATTGCCACATATAACCAACAAGTCTTTGCAACTACTGGCTGAATCAGGTGCATCAAACATGGTTTGGGTGTCAAACAGGCTGGATCTAGCCTGTGGAGCGGTCATCTGGCCCACATACTTCCTGGCAGGGCTGAAAGTTGGGGAGCTGAGATGGTGCCTGCTGCTAGATTTTGGGGTTTGGAACTCCTTTTGGGATTGTTTCAGCAAGGATGCATGAAGCTCTGCAGCTCTGGGCCAACGCAGTGGCTTGCACTCACTGTGGTTAATCCTGCTGCTGGAGGTGGGTCTAGTTTTAACCCACAATTAGCCCTGTGGGCCAGTCGTGAGGGCCTAATGAGTTGGCACCCACCATGAGCACATCCCCACAAGCGTGCATGTGTGTTTCCTAGGGACAAATAGCAGCACATAATTGTGCCACTGCTACTTGACTTTGGGGAATGCCCCTGCAAGCACAATCTGGCACACAGTAAATTGCCCTGGGTGGAGTAGGGGAACCTGGCATCAGCACCTGGGCTGCCTCAGCAGCCTTACCTGGGGTCATGACAGCCTCCGAGGGCTACAGTGGTGGCAATCTAGGTGCACAGAGCCTGCCTGGCAGCCAAAGTGTGGCTTTGACTACCCAGGCTCATTTCCGGCAGCACATTCTGCAGTCACGTGTGCTACCCTATTTTTAGTTTTGTTTTGTTTTTTTAAATAGTGGGATTTCTCAGTATCTAATTTTGGTTCTTTGCACTGCAAATATGGAGCCTGGAGAACCTTTTCGTATGTGCCACGTGTGCGTTTCAGCACCTCAAAAGCCTTTGCGGTACTACAAAGCACATGTTCCCACTGGTGGAGACATGGCCCATTAGTTCAGCCCAGGGGTATCGTATGTTAAGACGCACTGCTTCAGCTTCTCCCCCAGAGGTTGCATCTGGTATATAACCTGGAAAAATAGCCAAGGAATACCAAGCAGAGTTTCACTGCATTTAGACCTTGATGAGTCCTGCCACAAGCTTGTGTTGTAAGTGGCGCACAGGCTATGACTGAAAGCTTATTTAGAGCTTGAGAAAGCACTGGGCCTCTTAAGAGCCTGAGGATTTCCCAGCCAGCACAGCAAATTTACACTTAAGGAAAGATCATTTAATAACAAGCTGTTCTGTGAATTTTCTGTTCGTTCCCCCTTTCGGTTCGATAGCAGGTAATCATGGTAACTGGCTTAGTGAATAAAGGGAGGAGCAATAAATGGTATCTTTATTATAGTAAGGCTTTTGAGGCTGCCACCTGTCATTCTTATAAACAAGCTAATAAAATATGGTCTATACCATGAGGTGGATATACAACTGGTTAAAAACAGCACTTGAAAGTAGTTGCAAGTGGGTTACTGTCATACGTTGAGGGCATTTCAAGTGATATCCCACAGGGTTCGGTGCTGGGTCTAGTTCTTCACCATGTTTTCATTAACAATTTAGACAATGGAAATGCTTACAGAACTTGGGGATGATGGGAAGCTGAGAGGGGTTGGAAGCACTTTGAGGGACAGGATTAGAACTTAGAGTGATCCTGACAATGTGGGGTTGGTGGGGGAAGAAGTCTGAAAAACAACAAGATGACACTTAATAAAGACACGCTTGAAGTGCTGTACTTGAGGAGAAATCAACTGCTCATCAGCAGTAGCTAGGCAACACACAAATAAGGACCTGGCGACCACAATTAGATATTCTTCACCATCTGACCAGTTCAGAGCATTTTAGCTTTAAAATAGAAATAAAAAACACAATAATTTGTTCTCAATGGTGAGGATCAGATAGTTTGGCACAGTACTTGCTTACATGAAGCTCGCACGTGCTCTTGCCCTGGAGTGCTCAATAACCATGTTCCAAGATTCTCTAGCTCAGAACAAAGGCAATTGTTGTGCTAGTTTTAGTTTTCTAATAAAAGCTTGAAGGTCACTGTGGTGCTAAGAGACCAAAGTCTGCATATATGAAATGAGCTCTTTTGATAGTATAGCCATCTCTTCCCCCCCAATGGAGCAGGCCCCCATATCTTTTCCCATCACAGCAACACTGCTGGCAATAAAGAAACTTCAATAAAGATCTACTTGAAGCTCCTATTCCAGAAAGAGAAAACTGACTCCGAGTTCTCAGTGAGACTCATTATTTATTTAGTCTGTCACATGAATACATTGAAGCTACGTAAATCAGAACAGACCATTTAGATTTAGCATACCTTGATAAAGTCTATCCTTTGCATCTGATATTAGTCCTTTCATGGACTTCTAGAACTATCTTGTTCCAATCATTCATGTTTGTTACTAAACTGAAGAAGAGACTAGAGGGCCCTCTAGTGTTCTGTCATAGGACGCACGGTTAATAAATGAATTAACAAGATGGTGGTCGGACAACTTTAAACTTTAGTAAAGAAGCAGTTTTCATTCTAACTAGGACTTCTGAATGTTGATTTTGAGCTTCTTCACTTCATGGAATTCAGTTAGGATAAACCTGTAGAGACAAAAGAAGTGACAAGATTAATATAACAAGCCGGATTTTGATCTGAACAAGACCTTAATCTACAGGCAGATCTGCGTTTTTCATCAAATAAGGCGCACACTGCAGAACTGTGGAGACTAGCTCTGTAGAATGACAGTAGGTATTTTTAAGTCAAGTCTATTTTCAAAACTGTCAATTTCTCTTCCGAAACAAGTAGCCCCAATCAGTGGCAACACAACACCCATTGGTACATGAGGACTGTAGTTGTGCTTTACACACCTTTAAGGAGAACTAGGATCCATCTCAGTTACCACCCCTGCTTCTCATTTCAGACACAGACGTGCAACAGCAGGAGGCGGCAAGTGAACAGGTTGTGCAAGTCCCTTGTTCCCATGCCTACACTGGATTCAGGCGAATCAGAGGGGATGTTATATTACACTGGTTGTGGTCCACTTCTGGATCAGAGGCCAGATTTTTAGTACAAATATCAAAACTTGAGAAGTCACAAATACGTAGGAGCAGCAGCTACCAAGCTAAGGGTTGCAAACCCCACTTCCATGCAGGAGCTTAGTTCATTAAGTCAGGACTATACCAGAAATGGGTTTGTGAAGCACTGGACTAGAATTAAACCCCTGCATCTTTCTGGTATCCAAGAGATCAAAGAAAGGCCACAGAATAATATGACCATAATAATTAACTGCGGTGACTAGATACGTAGTAAAATAAATGCACGACAAATTATGTAACTAAATAAATTACTTACCATTAGCAAACCTGCATTGCTTCAGCACTTCACTGAAGCCCTCACACAGTTTCAGGTCAGTCTGGTTCTGTGCACACTCCAGGAACTGCTTCATTTCATACAGACAAGGTCCATTTTGTGATTGCTGCTGCTGGTAAGCAGGCTGGGCTGCTTGAGGCTCCTGAAAAGGAACCACAGGAGCAGAGTCAAGGTTTTCGAAATGTAATATCAGTGAGAATTACTGCAGACTTGCACTCCCTACTGTCTTCAGAGGAAAAATAAGCTACTGATGGAGCAGAGAGCATTTGGTTCTTAAGTCAGTTGCAGAACTCCTACAGCAGTAGGATTCTGGATTTTCACCCCTTGTGTTTAGCTGCAACTGACAAAAAAAATCCAGTCTTTTCAACTTAACTGCAGAACTCTCACTGAAATCAATGAAGCTAGGATTGCAGCTGTAGTATTCAACCTGAATACAAATTCAGATGCTTTCCACATGGATTTCTGTTCCCTCCCATTGAGAGGACTCAAATTCAGTGAAGCTATATGGAACTTTTAATTCCCCTTCTATTGATGATCCTAGTTGATAAGTCAGGTAGTATTTGGGCCTGTAGAAGTGACTGTTTACACAAAAAAGCATTTCAGTAGTGGTGCTAACCATTACTAGAGAGCTCATTTTTAACTCCTCTCACAGCCAATTTCAGAAGAGTAAGGATGTTGTCTGAAGTTTGAACAAAATGATGACATTACAAACACAACTGCTGGAATCTGAACCTTACCTGAAGTTAAGCTAGACAGCTAGATGCTATTTCTGACTAGAAGGCAACAGATAGAAACTCTTGTGCGCAAGTCCCACAGCCAAGGACTTGCAATCTTTATCTTTAAAACCCTATTCCCCAAGGTGTCAAACCCATAGCATCTCCACCATTAACATCAAGTTATTCTGGGTGAACTGCCAGCCCAAGCAGAAGGGTATTCAGTTTTTGTGACTGAGAATGCACAACTTGTCTGCTGTACCCAGTGGTTAAAACAGCCATCTTGCCTTCTTCTTACTCAGCCTGTGTCCCCACCACTTACAAGACACTGCTACACACTTCTGGCAAATCAAGTTCGTTTCAGAAGTGGCAAAATAAGTAGACGCTACAAAACATCTGAGGAAGTACGTTTCCATTGACTATATCTGTGCAGTAAGATACAGTCGTTAGGGGCTCCCAGAGACATGCGGGGAGCCAGCTCAGACACACTGGTGCCAGAGCAGACTCGATTAACTGAGCTTGCTGGAGCATAGAAATTACCATGCTCCAGCAACCCCCAGCATCACGCGCACTGAAATATGGCGGCAGGGCACTGTGAACTAAAACTCATTGAGTGATGTAAGGGTCAGCATATTTTTTTCAGTGTGGGGGGCACTTATACATGGGGACACAGTTCCCTAATGAAGACACCCCCCACCCTCCATATGTAAACATGCCCTGGGGTGTCTACGCAGCACAGAGGCCCCTCAGCAGCATGTGTTAGTAAGGCTCGCAGCCCAATTACCTGGTAAGTAATGTCAGGCCTTGCAGCCTCAGAGTCATTTCCTCCTCCAAACCCTCCTGTAATGGCGTGCCCCAGCGTGTGGCCTACAGCGGAGCCCACGGCCACCCCCGCAGCCGTGGTGGCCATCTGCGCCATGAGGCCAGGCTGCTTCGGGGCGGCAGCGGGAG